TATTATATCTACTCGCAAAAAGAATAAGCAAATCCAAAGGTTGCTATTTCCATTCCTATTTTTTATTTTTTAAACAAATGACAGATTTTTGCACCAAACCAGAAAACTCCCAAACTTTTCACACCTTTGATAATGGGTGTATGTTGTTTGGAGCAAAGATATTTTGTTGGACTTCATCCAGCAGTAACAGAATGGAGACTAATGGATTGAGATATATGGTAAGTCAAGTTAGATGCAACATCCTTTCTGGCCTTGAATGGTAATGATGAGAAGGAAGAAAGACATTGCTTAATGTCTACATTAGAAGATGTTTAGCAGTCATTGACTTTCAAAGGAGGTCTATGCTGATAGAGCACTATTACATACAAAGACTTGGCAATAAGCTAGCCAAGTTTGCCATGTCTTGCTTTTTATTTCCCTGTAAATCATTTGTGCCAGTTAAGATACAGAGCTGTTATTATAACCTACCAACCCCAACTTTCCCAGAACTTAGTCAACTCCTTGACATTCCCTCTTATTTCTTGTATTAGAATTATCTGAATTGGTTCATGTTCCAGGACCAGATGTCTTTATTTTATACATAGACCTGCACATTATAAATGTTAGAACACAGACTATATATACATAGGAATCTGTTTAAAAAGCAGTTACTAGTCTTAGTCCCTACAGTTCTTAACATAAAAGAGATCTGTTCAAACTTAGAATCAACTAAAAGGAATTTTGCCATTGTCAATTTGAGTCTAATTAAGTGCAGTCTGGTACAAAAACAATCTGAAAAGCAGTGAAGAGATTAGCAGTAGTCAAATACAGACACTGTCAAGTCTGAAGCAAAACAGTAAGTAATTTCTCAGAACCTCAAAAACAAAGATACATACTCAACTAAAATATCTGTTGTGGTCTGCTAATATGTTGTACCACTAGTACCATTTTTGTAAATTTCCAAAGCTGTTATTTCCTTTTTAGGAGAAAGGAAAAAAAGGATTTGGATCACCACAAATTTTGTAATGCTTATAGTATGTGTGCTAACAATTTCCATTTAATGTGTAAGTGCGGTGTAGAAGCTGAATAAATAAAATTTCTATTTGGATGAAAGAGAATTTTCAGATGAAGAAATAATAAGCACCTACAGCCTTCAGAATCTGGAACTGAATTGTTTTTAGTGGAACTCATTTGATATGAGTCAGCTTTAAGCAATACTTTCAAAATGCTGCAGGACTTTGCAAAAACATTTAACAAAGTATAACTGGAAGTTTGAACCAATATAATATTTTTGTTCATTCACTAAATATAAGCTAACAGGCTGTATAATTACTACACAGAGATGTGGAAAACATCACACAAACAGCATAGCACCTATCTATAATTAAGTGGCTTGTGTGGTAGTATCCATGGAATGATGTTTTCTCTCAATGGACATTTCTTTACATTCTGCTGCTGTAAAAGAAACCCATTAATACAAATTTGCCTTCATCTCCTCTTGAGAGTAACATTTAATTTTGAGTTAACAGTGTGAAAACCTATTACTCCATTTATGTGGTAATTTGAAAAGCTTCACAAGTATTTTATCTGAAGCTATACACTTCTGTGACACCCTATTTTTAACTTTGGGCACTCAAATCTTTTAGACCGTAGGGAAATTATACTTGTTTTTGAATAAGTACTTATAGAATTGAAATTTATTCATAATTAATATCAGATGTGTGCATTTTAAGTCTAAAAGGAAGCGTTTGTCTTCGGTAATATCTACTAGGTTTCAGTGCATTGAACTTTTAGGAGAGAAAAGAGATAACAAACAGATTAAGAGAAGTTCATGAAGAAGTATGTAGAAGCCATTAAGCAGATATTTTTACTGGAGAGAGATAAGGCAGAAGGGATATGACTGATGGCTGAAGAGTGAGAACAGGGGCATTTTAACTCAAAATACTTGAAAGCTAGATCTGACTTAAAGCAAAGTGATAAGCTCACAGTGAGTTCTGATTTCAGATTCTTTCACTAAGACCTACCAGACTTCTTGGCCATCTCCATATCTGAAAATAAGAATTAACAAGAAAAGAGCCTTGAAATAAAGGATAAAAGGAAAATAAAAGGAAAATTTCTGTTCCCATAACACAAATTAAAGAGAAATATGTGATAGTAGGTTTTAATCATATTTTGACCCCATTTATGAAAAATAAATAAGAAATAAAGCCTACAATTAAATGCAGAAAGAAAAAAAAACCCACAAGATGGCTTTATTAGAAGAACAGCTGCTGTAAACCTGTGAAATACATGCATGTTCTTAAACTATCAGGTAAGAAGCATATTTATAATCAAATTAGATGCTATGGATGAATTTACTCATTATTTTGTGGATTCCTTGGAAATTAGGTAAACTACGCTCACATGTGGTTTAAAAGCTTTTAAAACTGGGGGGGGAGGGAAGGAGAGGAGTCAGAAAAAAGAAAAAAGACCCTGAGCAAAGGAATCACCCACCTGTTTTCCCACTCTGTTGCATAAGAAACCATATCTTCATCATTTGAAATGCACTCCCCCAGATGTAGGTTTATGAGGTGTGTGTTTCCTGAATCAATTAAGCCTTCATATAAAAAGATGCTGAAGGAACAGCATTAATATCAGAGTGGAGAGAAAGCAAAAATCTTATTGAAGTAAAGGAAAATTCTTCTCTATCTTATTCTTGGAAGGCATATTTTCTTTATCTTGAATGTGCAATTTACATAGCTAATGTAAAACAGTCAGCAAAATGGGAGCTATATGAATGAAAATTCTTAGCTGTATATAACCCAAGTTTTTACAAACTGGATTAATCGTAAGTGGTTAATTGTAAAATATCATCACATTTGTTTAAGAAGATGTTTCTACCCACTAAGGAAGGTAGGCATGTTTTGTATTTCTGTTTATAGAATGAGAAAAGGGATGAAGACTGAACCTAGATAAATTGGAGCAATAAACATCGAGTACATCGATATACCTTTGCCAAAAACACTTTGAGCCTTCACTATCCTGTATTCCCAGCAATATGTAATTCTGTTTGTACTGCAAAAGTAAAATCATGTCTTTTATTGAAAGATCAAAATATATATTAATTTTTATACAATAGCGTGCTTGTCTTTCAAAAAGGTTTTTAATCAGAGAATACAAATCCCTGTGGATTTTTGAGTTATCTTTACAACTGTCATGCTGTGTTGATCACCTTCTTCCCTGTACCTTCTTCCCCACAGCAAACCACAGGGCCACTTTAAAGGGCATTCTGAGATATTCTTTTTCTGTAGTCAGAATCCTTTCTTTGTTTCAATTAGATTGTTTTCCGAATACTCTTGCTTTTTTTCCCCTTTGCAATCAAGACTACAGCTTAAGTTTTCTTTGGTCAACTGAAACTAATGAAATAATTTTCAGAGAAGTATCATACTGAGAATGAGAAACTCCATCTGGTCTCCATTTGTCCATGCGCAGGACAACAACAGCTTTGTCCACTTGTACATTTCCAGTCCTTATTCCATGCATATTTCACCTACTTAGCTTAATTCATTATGGCAATTTGGAAGATTTCAAACACTCTTAACCATTTAGCTGATCTGCATCACTCAGGATGTGTAATTATAGCCTGTCACCAGCCTCTGTTTTCTAACATGTAACATGGTTCTCCGATGCCAGGGTGACAGGCACGGTGTTAGAATATCAAAACAATCAAATTCACTCCCTCAGGGCTGCACTGGCATTTGGCACTCTGTCTTGAGTAGTTTTGTTTGTTAATTGTGTTATGACAGAAGTACAGGAATTTGAAGCCCAGGGATCTGCAATCATGGGGCATCTTTCTCACTCTTTGTGAAGGGCACTGAATTATGCCTGACCTATCTCTGCCACCAGTGACCCGCTGGCATGAAGGCCCAGATGTAGCAGTAGCAGTTCTTGGTGAAAGCCCATGACTGGGTTCCTCTGCAGTGCGAGGCCACTTGATTCTCCAGCCTATCTACATCCTGTTCTGTGGCTTTTCTGCCTAGAAGTAGGCAATCTTGTTGCTTTCATGGGCGTGCGAGTTAAATCAAAACTTGTTGAGTTAAAGAAGTGCAAAGGAATGGATTGCAAGAAGTTCGGAAAGAAATCATTTATTCTGTACAGGCGGCACCAGACAAAATAAATAAATACATAAACAGGGCTGAAAACAAGAATGTTTGCACTCTTGTATCAACAGCAGTTATGGTTAAATATAATTAAACATGTAAGATTATTTAAACTGGCTTCTGTATTCTTTCAATATGCTCATTTCACATTTGTCCCATCCGGCTTTAGAACAGAGAGGTTGCATCTCATAAAATGGGAAGACATCTACCCCTACTACTAGAGATAAGGGGAGATTCTCACAGAAACAGTAAGATCCACTTTAAACAGTTACTGTCTCAGTGCATTATTTTTTGGCATTTCCCTGTGAAAATAGCATTCTCATCCAAGCTGTAAGATACATTCTTGAACTACATCCATGGAATAAGAAAGAGACAATGTAAAGCTGAGTAGTTCCAGATTCTGAAAAGCAGGAGAAAACCGTAAGTGCAAAAATGAACAAATTTATAAACTGAGTTTACAGTAACTGCTGGAGAAAAAATACAACACACACACACACACAAAAAAAGCATTCCTGTGGATGTGTTTATACTAAACAGGCATGCATTTAAACACCAAAGAAAAGTTACAGATCAAGTAAATTACTACACTTTGTGGAAGAAGCTTTGAACTCAGTATCTTATGTTGGGTGAAATGATGTAATTCAAAGATAATCCTGACACTTTTGTTCCTGTCCTTAAGCTAAAAGTTTTATTAAGCATATTTTATTGTGGACATACGATAGTTAAAAAAAAAGAAAAGAATGAGTCACTTGGCTAAAGAAGTACAGCAGCATTGAGGTCTGAGTGCTATTTGTTAACTCATGTCTAGCAGTATAAAATAAGTTGGAAAACAAAAGTCTGTTTATAATTTGTTTTATAAAGGAAAATGTTCTTCTGAAATACAAAAAATCTTTGCATAACGCCATGGCTGATGATCTAAACTTTTTCGGATTTGTGAAACACTTATCATTCTCTCATCCCACAGGAACAGCAGATGGGTTGTCCTTGTACAAAATGTGGTATCCACCTGCACTTCATTAAGAGAGCTGCATTTTCGTACATGCCACACCACAAGATCACCATGATGACATAGCAGCTTCAGAGAACAGCGTGACTAGGGTTTTTTTTTCAGGGTCTTTTTTTTTTTTTCCTCTTGTAACACAGAGGATCTGGCAGACTTTTACCTCCTGTCACTGTTTACAGCATATATTGGTCGATACAGTCCCTTATTGCATCTGCTCTGGGAATTAAGGAAAGCAGCTTCAAGGCAGTAAGGTAAGTGCTGCTGCATGTTTTAACTGTAATGTTCAGCTATTTAAATGTAGCTGTAATGGGAATGTGAAAACATGTCAAGATAAGTTTGCCAATTTGTAAATTGAATACAAATCAGCAGTCGTTTAGTGCATTTACTTTTTTAGCTTCCTTGAAACAGCTTCACATGTTTTGTGCATCAATGCTGCACTTTTTCAAAGTGTTTTGTTCTGCTTCAAAAGAAGAGTTGATGTACAGCACAAAGAATTTATTTTAAAAACTACTCATTCCTCTCTTGGTAATAGCTTCATAGAACTCCATTTGTTAAATTTTCTTTCTTAGTTTTATAAAAAGGCAAGGTATTCAAACATTTAAATAATTAATCAAGTAAACAAAGAGAGGAAAACTATAGGCATGTTGAAAAAGTTTGGATAATTTTAAAGCTAATTTTTTATATACTATTGAACCTTTTTTAATATGAACTCTTATGCAAACTGTGTGAAACAATAAGCTGCAGAATTAAGGCATATTTAGATTAATGCTGTTTGAATAATAAACTTTCATATACCTTGTTTCACAGCTTTGGAATTAAAGCAGTATAGGCTCCAAAATAATCTGAATAGTTTGTCTACTCCACTGTAGTAAGCATTTTCCCCAGTTTGTGAATCTGTCATTTGGTGTGTTTTGGCATGCTGCCTGAGCAACTTCACAAATGTTTACACAGGTATTTAACAGCATAATTGAGTAGAACAAACACAGGCAATTAGTTCAAGCATGCCTGTGTTATAAGATCTAAGAATGTATGCTGATGGTATCTTTTGAATGTATACAGTTCAGTGTAACAACCGAGCATGTGCATATCATCTATTTACATTTTACACTTCTGACAGAGAACCACGTAGAATGCAAAACAACAAATAAAATATAACAACACCAAAAATTTGTGTTACTGTGCTATTTCATGTCACATATGTCCACATATGACTTTTCACTAGGGAACTGTCATTTAAATTTTAAAATCTTATTGGTAAAATCATTCAAAATTTTTTAATCTAACTCGAATGTTTTCATGGTAGTTAAACATTGTACACTCTTTAAGTGTCTGCCTCTCATCTGAGTAATAAAGATAAGCATGTTGAATATAACTGGAAACCACAAGAAGAATAGAACTTGAATTTAAAATGGGATGTTTATTCTACATTACCAGTAAGACTATGAAATGATGAGGATGTGTAAAAATGTCATTGTGAGGTCACAGAGTGTAGTCCAAGAGGTTCACTACGTCATATATTTTGAATACAAAGCACTTAGTTCTTCACCTTTAATGTTTAGTATCAAAATAGGAGCAGATTTCCAACCAGACTGCATTGCTGCAACTTCTCTCCTTTCAGAGTAGCTATACTTCTTCATACCAGCAGGGGACTTAAAGTCCCCTATGTGTTCTCATCTCATACAGTAATGAAGAACAGACAAAGAAAATTACACTGATAACTCATATTTCAATAATTCTCTATCCAACAGTTTGTCATTAGCTAAAGCAGAGCCAACACCATGGTAAAAGACATGCAATGCTAGTCCTTGTTCAAAAGACAGCAGCTTAATATCCAGCAGTGAGGCTTCGTGTGTAATAGACTGGACAAGAGAAAATTTTTAAAAATAAATTAAAAAATAAATATATATTTACTTTTATTATATTTTTTATTTACTTTTATATATTTTTATTAATAAATATATATTTACTTTTATTTAATTTATTTAATAAATAAATTAAAATTAAAAAAATTCCTTCCATTACACAAAATCAGTAGGCCCTGATTAAAGTTACTCTAGTTGATTAAACTGTGATGTGGCTTTTATCAACTCAGTAAAAGCAAGGAAATTCAGTTGAAGATGACTTTCAAGCTATGGCCTTGCATTTTAACTTTAGGAACTCCACCACAAAATAGTGCTAACAAGAAGACTGACTTACTTTGCTGGAAGATTGCCTAGGTCTGAGAATGTCTGGTGATCTGTTTAAATGATGCACATGCTGTCTGAAATTATTTGAGAACAAGAGGGTTCTAAGGATTTTCTGTATTTTCTCACTCTGAACAGTAGCTGAGTATTTGTTCATGGTGAAAATCAAAGTAAGCTCACCAACTTCAGTGATGCTAAGCTGATCTTTTCAACTCAGCATCTATCTAGGTAAGAAGAAATATCTGCAAGATACTAGTTTATGCCGATTTTGAGATATTAGTAGAGTTGTATCTTGTGAAGCATCTAATTAGTAAAGCATGTCCTTGAAAAGTAATGTGAGATGACTCACACTGTATCACAGCAAAACATCCCCAAATGTCTTAAACATCTTTTTGCTGTATATGATCTAGAAGGACAACCGTAAAGCAAGTGCTTATTGATCTGTTTATGTAGAGTAGTAATATAAAGTAATTAGCACTCTCATTGTCATATATCAATTTTGAAAGAACGTTTGCACTATGTGAAGAGCTGACATTTCAAATCCAATGTAGACCTGTATTAGAGTACACACATGTACACATATGCAGTGCTGTTTGACAGGTCCAGGAGAACATGTGCTGTTTTTATGAGTTTGTTCTTTAATATGGAATATGGAAGAAGATATCTCAAGCTACTGGCATCTTAACAACACACTATATAGCAGACCATCACTCTGAGTTTGTAACTTTCCTTAATTTAGTTTTCTGAAACTAAATTAAGCCATCACATATTATTTAAGTATAAGGTACTTTAACATATTCGGTGTAACAACGAAAGCTTGATAGAATTTAAATGGCAAAACTGTCTCTAAACATGACCTTCAGCAAAACTGGAAACTTGTGTTCCAAGGTTAGAAGACTTGGACTTTACCATCCTTCTTGCAATTTAACAAATTGCTACAGGATGATTTTAAAAATCTGTTACTTGCAGCAGCAGAATGGCCTGCAGATTCACATTACAAAGGCAGATTATAACAAAATAAGTGCTGTAAAACTGTAATAGTAACACTGCATTGCTAACAAACATTGTATTTTTAATTAATAGCTTTATATAGGAAGTGTTAATTAGTGTTGAATCATAATCTTGGTATATTAAAATTTCAAGTATTGAAGAAAAAACAGAAAATCAGGATTGTAACTTTTTTTATTCTCCTCCACTATACAGAGACAAGACACATGGAAAAGATGACTTTAAACTCTCTACCCATCTTTCTAATATTGATTAGTGGCATTTTTTGCCAATATGACTATGGTCCTGCAGATGATTATGGTTATGATCCTTTTGGGCCATCCACAGCAGTCTGTGCCCCAGAATGTAATTGTCCTTTAAGCTATCCTACTGCAATGTATTGTGACAATCTTAAACTGAAAACCATTCCAATTGTACCAAGTGGAATAAAATACCTTTATCTTCGAAACAATATGATTGAGGCCATTGAAGAGAACACATTTGATAATGTAACAGACCTGCAGTGGCTGATCCTAGATCACAATCATCTGGAAAATTCAAAAATTAAGGGAAGAGTCTTCTCTAAACTAAAGAATCTGAAGAAACTTCACATTAACTACAACAATTTGACTGAAGCTGTTGGACCGCTCCCCAAAACTCTGGATGACCTGCAATTAAGTCACAACAAGATCACAAAAGTCAATCCTGGTGCACTTGAGGGGCTGGTAAATCTAACTGTCATTCATCTCCAGAACAACCAGCTGAAAGCAGAATCTATTTCTGGGGCATTTAAAGGTCTGAATTCACTTTTGTATCTAGACTTAAGCTTCAATCAACTTACAAAGCTACCAACAGGACTGCCTCACTCCTTACTCATGCTGTATTTTGACAATAACCAGATCTCCAATATTCCTGATGAGTACTTCCAAGGTTTTAAAACCCTGCAATATTTACGTTTATCCCACAATAAATTAACAGATTCTGGAATACCAGGCAATGTCTTCAATATCACATCATTGGTCGAATTGGATCTGTCCTTCAATCAACTGAAGAGTATTCCAACTGTCAGTGAGAATCTTGAAAACTTCTACCTCCAAGTCAACAAAATTAACAGTGAGTTAAAATTGCATGTTTTCAATAACATTTAACACAGTCCAGAAAGTAATGGCTTGTGCAAGTATCTGGAATTGTTGTTCAAACAGTCTGAAGAAATGGTGCTGGCTAACCTGTTAGCACACTGACATTTCTCTGACTGCTCCTCATATTAATATTAAAAGACAGATATTTAGCTACCTATTTGAAGGCAGAAAATTCTACTTTCTTTCAAATGTGGTTATTAATGGTCAAATCCTCATCGCACATAAATAAAAATAAATGCATTGAAATCAATGGAGGGTACTTATACAAGTCAGAAAAAAAAAAAAAGATAAAAACCAACTCTGGAAAGAGTTCAATCAGTGTGAAAGATACTCAGAATTTGTAAGTCAACAAAAGATAACAGAATCTCACTACAGTATGTATAACCTTTCAGTGAAAGTACTGGAGGGGAGGACAGGTAATCCATAAGGTACAAAGCAGAGTGAAAAATACACAAACTAGCTGTTATTGGTTTTATTTATTTATTTCCTCTCTTCCTTATCTTCCCCCTTACAGGCAGTATATTTCCAAATCCATCTTGAAATCCTAAGAGCTGCCCCATTGTTTCTTCTTTCCATTCCTGTTTTCCACATCATATAGTCAGGTATCAAGCTTGTCTCCATTTAAACAAGATTTGAACAGAAATTCCTTCTGAAGTCAGTAACCCCACCTTGTATGAGACTGTGGAGGTTTCTACTGAGACAAGACTGCCTTAATCATGGGGTAGGAGGGAGAGATACTATGGAAGTGAGCAGGCCTCACCCTCCCATCAGACACTCTCCAGCTACACTTCTGTAAGCAGAAACCTGTCATGGAGAGGCAGTATGGTCAGAAACAACTGTGTTTCTGTTGAGGGCTTACATCAACCTGCTAACTAATATTAACTAAATCAGAAACTCCTACTGTTTACCTGTAGCCATCAGGTCTCTAGGATATCACTGTTAGCTAAAAGATTTAATTTTTCTTTATACAGACTTGCAACAAAATATTTTAATGCGTATCATACCAGGCATAGGGCAATAATTTTTTTTTTTTTTTTTTTAGTCTACCATGTTTCACATGTTCCTCAATATTTTGATTTTTTTTCCTGTATCTCATTTCCTTGTTTTGATGAAGGAAAACAAAAAATTAATGCTTCCCAATGAAATAGCAAGTATAGAAACCTATAGTGCTCTTTCAGATACTCTTCTGTTCCTGAAAAAGTTGATGATTTTTAATTTCTCCTGTGATAAATGAGGCATTTTTCAATGCTTAGACCAGCTGTTCTGAGCCTTTTTCAAGAGACCCAGGTACCAAGTTTGCTTTCCACTCACATTTCCAAGGTCTTCTGAGCAACGGTGACAGCAATTTACTTCTTCAGTGAAAGCAATGTTTCCAGAACTCTAGTCAGTGGAGAAGCTGATGGAGTGAGGTGTGAATGCACTGGCTACTGCTACACTTTCATTGCTACCATATGGAATGATGCAAGAGATCTCTGATTTGTTCTTTTGGCTGAATAAGAAAGTGTAGAAGACAAATTTCTTTGACTATCTAATTTCAAAGGCACAATATTATGTTCCCCAATATGCAAATTAACAATGTGGGGCATTTTGGTTTAAGAAGGTTGCTGATACAGAGTGAGCAAACCCTTTGCAATTCTTTTCTCATTAGATCTGACCTTCATGTCTGAGTGCTACATCTTTCTAAAAATTCAGTTGACTGATCTTTGACCCTGAAACAAATGACCAGTTGCTTTTAAATAAAATATTCTTGTTTTCCTGAGATTTATGTAAGGTTGAAGGTAAACAAGGAAAGCTTCCCATCCATACAATGGCCCATAATGCTGATATTATGTGAGAAGGAAACTTCTCTATTACATGTAATGATAGCTTGTCCTGAAAGGTTACTCAATTCAAAAGGCATAATTTCTTAGATTACACTTGCATAACTTAAAATTTTCACTTATTTAGTTTTTCATTTGCTGTTTCTCTTTTTCAGTACACTGAGGACTATAAATTAACATTTGTCTGAGAAAAAGCCCTACCCCATTTGATATTACTAGAAAGAAAGGAAATATTTCTTTAAATCATTGTCCCTGAGTTTTGTTTTGATTTGATGGAGAAATTATGCATTGACATATCTAAAAAATTATGTATTAGGAAAATATCCTCATGTGAGTGACTTTGAGCTTGGTGAACAAAAGCTGATAAATGTACCCTCCAAAAGATTTGAAACAGAATCAGTTTCATTTCAGTGTGTTCTGTCTTCATCCCACTGTGAGAGGAGGAGGAACAGGCTAACAAGTAGGATAGCAAACTGGAATAAAGACAAATTCAGAAGAACTCCTTTGATCTCTACTAATAAACTGAAGCATGTGTGAAGTCCATGTTAGGTATCAACAGTATGCCCCATCACCTGTATTTGAACAAGTTGGATTTCCAAGCTAGTATGGGACCATGATGAGTTTATAAGTCTTTGCTCTATTCCTGTCTCAAGCCCAGAATGGAGAAGATTGGAGTTTCTGTTTATTTTTTCTGTTGTTGTTGTTGTTTGTTTGTTTTCTTAATATCTTTTTTAGTAATTTCAGGCTGAAATTTTGTGCTTTGTAGTAACAATTGTTTGCTCCTATGCTGTAAGATGCCTTTAGGTTTATGTATGTATTTATAGTATTTGTTATTATTGATTATTCAAGGCAAAAATCCCTCTGCAGGTATAAACATCAAAGAGAATCAGTGATACAAGAAGAGAGTTCAAAGGCCCATATTTCATTTGCAAAAGATTAAGAAAAGAAGTGCTTCCACCTGAAGCACTAGCAAGAAGATATTGTAGGAATGGAGCATAACAAGTGGAACTTGAAAAGTTTTCAGAGAACAGTCGAAGACACATTCTCATAGAATAATGAAATTATTAGAGTTGGAAGGGACCTCTGAAGGCCATGTAGTCCAGCTCCCCTGCAATGAACAGGGACACCACAGCTAGACAAGGTTGCCCAGGGCCTTATCTAGCCTCACTTTGAAAGTCTCCAGGGATGGGGCATCAACTACATAACTGAGCAACCTATTCCAGTGCCTCACCACACTCACTATAAAAGATATTTTCCTTATATCAAACCTAAATCTACCCTCTTGGAGCTTGGAACCATTTCCCCTTGCTCTATCACAGCAGACCCTGTTAGGAATCTGTCCCCTTCTTTCCTGTAGCTTCCCTTTGGATACTGAAAGGCTGCTATCAGGTTACCTTGCAGCTTTCTCTCGTCCAGGCTGAGGAGCTCCAGCTCTCTCATCCTGTCCTCATAGAAGAGGTGTTCCATCCCTTTGATCATTTTGTGGCCCTTCTCTGGACACACTCCAACAGTACTGAATACTCCACTTTCCTCAACGTGCTGGCCATGCTTCTTTTAAAGCAGTCTGGGTTATAGTTGTCTTTCTGAGCTGCGAGGGCACATTGTTGGCTCATGTCCAGTTTGCCAACCACCAGTAACCCCAGTTTGTATTTTTTTTGGCAGGGCTGCACTCAATCCTTTCATCCTCCAGCTTGTATTTGTAATGGTGGTTCCCTTACCCAGGTGCACGATCTTGCATTTGGACTCAGCTTTCTGCTGCAGTTCTGGCTGCATTTTGCTGCAGTTCATTGGCTGGATCAGTAGCTGTTCCATGAATTCAATTACTCTAAGCATAGCTAGTTGTAAGATGCTTTGTGGTCTTCTATCTGGAACACCACACCAATCTCAGAGTGTTTTTTTACAGTGGTCTGTGCAGAAATGACTCAAATATGCTTACTATCGGCTTACAAGCCAGCAAGGATGATGAGAGCTGCTGATCCCAGTAAGCTTTTCTGCTGTATTGCATGCCTTAACAAGAAGTCTTAGCATAGTTAGTTTTCCTCAGCTTGAAGCTGCTTGTGCTCCTGATTTAAAAAGTGATATACCTTTGCTTAGCATACAGTAAAATAAACAAAAAGAATTTTGTGTAGAAAATAAATGTATGTATGCTTCTATTTTGGTCCATCGATGAGAGCAGAAGATGAATCTGCTCCTTTTGATATATATTCCTTTTTATTGTATTCCTTTATATATATATTTATTGTATTCTGATTATTTGTTAAAATATCAAAATTTCTTAAGGGGACAGACACACTTAGTGAGAAAATAGCTGTTCAGATGAAAATCCAACTTTTATCCAATCCTTGTAACTATCTCTGTGTCAGATTCAAGCAGGAATTCTTTGTTGGCAAAATATGAATGTCACGCTGGTGGCAAAATTCAAGTTTCATTGCCTCTGAACATGGATATTATTAATTCAGAAACATTTTTAACAGGAATATCTGCAACACTGATCACTGTAATAAAGGGGGAAGTAAACTAGTGATGTTTCAGTGCTTCAGTCTCTTTGATTGAGGTTCCCATGCAGAACATCTAGATAATAGAATATCAGATGCAGTCCAAGTCCCACTTGTCTAATCTTTTTGTATTGTAGACAATAATTAGAATCCAGATATTTTTAATATGCTTCTAACAGCTGAAATTCTACGAACTGTATAATAAATTGATACCCACATGAAAAAAATGCATTTTTGCACTGAGTAATGAAACCCAATACCACTGAACTTCATGACAGTTCCTTTGACTTCAGTGAAGACTAAATCAGAATCTATTTCCAAAGTGGTTCCAATCTCACAAGCAGTCTGCACAGCTAGATATTTTAGTAGCACTGATAAACTTTATGATTTACATGTATAAGGTTTAAATATTCTGAGTACCCAAATTACATGTACATAGCTTATATTTTAACCAAATGTAAGACCTTGAACTCAGAAGTAACAATAAGAAAAAATATGAAAAAGGAAATTCAGAAAGCTTTTATATGTGTGGCCTTCAACGAATGTGTAATTACCATGCCATTTTATTTTCCATGAATGATAAGAAAAGGAAAAAGAAATCTATATTAGAATTCATATTTATTAAAATCTTTACAAGTTACACCAAATTACCTGGAAAGATCTGGATGTAAATAATTAACGGTATAGTCTGTAGGCCAAGCAAATTTATGTTTGCATACAACAAATGCCATACAGATCTAATCCTATATCTTATTTTATATGGTTATATCCCACAAGAATTGACAGTTCACTAGAACTGATACATTCTAAACTGGAAGAAAATTAGAATTGATCTGCAGACTTAATATTATTAATATTATGATTTTGACTGTCCAATGACTGTGCCACCAAGAACGTCTTTTATTTTCTCACCTGTTGCAATTTCCATGATAATAAATAGGCATTATCTTTAGCTCTCATCTTTCTAAAACAGGGTTGTACAATGCACAAAATCTAGGAAATTGTTTTGAATTTAGTGTCTAACTGGTGTACAAAATCAAACATTTTTGAAACACATTTCCTTAATCCTCATTTAAAACTTATGGAAGATACACACAGTTTTACTATTCAACATCATATCTCTACCTCTTCTATCTCTAAAACATTACCTAGACTGTCATTCTTTAAAGATCTGCCTTTATGGACAAATATACACTTATACCTAGTTCACACTGGTTCATTTAATCAATGAAAGCACATTACTGTAATGTTAGTTCTGGAAGAATTCGAGTTAAAGTGAAAGACCCTCCATCTCCTTTAGTACAGCATGTTTTCTCAAATGAGATAAATAGTCATACAGCAAAGATATAAGAGCTGCTGTTTTCAAAAGCCCACTGGTAGTCAAAAGGGTTTCTGATTTTGAGAATTATGAGTTGCAGTCCTCTGCAACATGAAAGCATTTTATAGCATTTAATTGATTACAAAAGCTGTAAGAAGACTCTCAGATTTCTTCTTCAGTATTGTATGAATCAAAGTGAACACAGATAAGAATGAAGGACCATCTTTGTAGAATTACACAGTGTGGTATATAATGGGTACTAGGCTTATTTGCATAGATTCTCTCTTGCGAACGGACCTTTTCTGCATGATACATGTGTCGGTTGCTTTGAAAGTAATGCCTCTTATTTAATTTCATGAAAACTACAACAGATACAAAGGGCAGAATAAAGCCATTTGACAGAGAAGATTCTCAGCTACAAAACATTATTTTTCAGCATAGTCACCACCACCAACTGTGCAGTTTTTTCAAGAGATGAACAAGAGCCTGAGTGCAATGCTTGTAAAAGTCTATACCAGTGGAGGTGACCCACAGTTGCTGTTACCACTGCTGAAATGGACCACCCTCAGCCTCACTGTGCTCACAGCCACTGTTTGGTATCCATTAACATTCAGCAAACTTTGACAAATGTCAGTGGGTTCAACGTTTACTGCATAGAGGAATTCAGTGGCACCCCTTTACTTCATCCACACTTCCATGTCAGATGCCATTACGTCAGACTGCCCCTCTGCTGCCATATGTTGCACGGCAACACAATGTAATGGAATATTGTTGGGAAAGTTCAACCTCTATTGCTGTACCACCAACATCTGCCTCTGATGTCTTGAGCCAAAATAATAAAATGGGAGGCATTACTTTTGGATCGTCCCTTGTATATGTGTGCTTATTTATATTGAACACAGAATTTTTCTGGTTTTTTGTTTTTTGTTTTGTTTGTTTGTTTGTTTTTTTTTTTCCAGTTAATATTGTTCATAAGATACCAACTTCATTCAAGGTCTGCTGTATTTCAACTGGATGGAGTCTATATATAGCATGATACATAAATTGCAATAAATACAAAAATTTTTCAAATATGTTTTATGTTTACTTACTTTGAAAGCCTGCTATTCTAGAAAGGTTCAGCCATACAATTTCAGCATAATTCCTTCCTTGCTCATAGGCCAAATTATATTTTGAAAATAGTAAAGCAAAATTAAACGTTCAGAAAACGATACTTAACAGAGAGACTCTGTCGACTGCCTGTTCTTATGGATAAGGCCAAATCACAGTTTCAGTTGTTCCAGAAACTTTATTCAAAATATTATGTAGCACTGTTTCACATTTCCATCATAATGCACTCAGCGTAAGAGATTATTCCCTCTGCATCCCAGACTGTACTGATTCTTTGTTTTTTTTTACTTTTCTCTTCCCTTCTAAGTGCCAGCCTGAGTCTGAAATTCTTAAATTCTGAACTTCTCACAGCTAGAGTGAGGAACATCTTCAACACTTCTGACAAGGGGAAATTGTCTCAAACTAAAAGAAAGGAGATTTAGATTGAATATAAAGAAGAAGATTTTACAGTAGGGTTTGTGAGGCACTGGAACACATTGCCCAGAGGAATGGTGGATGATCTATCCTTGGGAGACATCCAAGATCAGGCTGAATGTTGTTCTGAGCACCCTGATCAGCTGTAGGTGATCATTTCCTGCTCATTTCAGGGGAGCTGGAATAGATGACCTTCAAGAATCCCTTTCAACTCAGAAGACTCTATGATTCTATAATACAGACCTCTCAAGTTGCAGTAAACTAACAGGGAATTTTATCAGTGAAAACACATTAAATATTGAAAAAATTTCACTGGGGGTTCAGATTGGTTATTTAGGAAAAGGTTTTTCACTGAGATGGAGGAACGGACTCCTCAAGAAGGCTACATTTTCCAAGTTCTATTTGTCCTAATTCTTCATGTTTTTTCTCACTCGTGTACCCTTTTTTTCAGAGTTCCCATTGAGCAGCTTCTGTAAGGTTGTTGGACCACTGACATATTCCAAGATCACACATTTACGCCTGGATGGAAACAATCTCACTCGGGCTGACCTGCCACAGGAGATGTACAACTGTCTTCGAGTGGCTGCGGAGATCTCACTGGAGTGAGATGCCTCAGAGTCTGCAGTTCCCTTCTATGGGCCATTATTACAGGAATTGCATCATGATAGCTCTTTAAATTTAGGATACGTCTTAAAAAAAAGTCAATCTGCATATTATCCATTCTGTTTGTTAACATTTAGCATGCACTTGGCAACCTTAAGGAAATGTGTGCATATTTTTACAAAAGGTTGTTATTTAGAAAGCACAAGAATGACCAGATGTGGTGCAAAATATGCCTTCATGTGGTTAGTTAAGTTGAGGGAAAACACTCAACCTGATAGAAATCCATGTTCAAGCATGCAATATGTACCATCTGGTACCAGACGTATGTAGAAGTCAGCTGGGTTTCATCAGAGTGCTGAGCAGTATGGGCTAGCCTGTGTAAATAGAGATTCTCCCTGCAAGCAATCCAGCATTCTTAATTATTCATGTCCTTCTTTTGTTAAAGTGATTTAACAATATAAAAGCAGTTCAAAAATGTATGAAAATATTTTTCGGAGCTATTACAGTATGAAATGAATAGAATATGTGAAGAATAACAGGGAAACAAACATTTTTTTCAGGTCAAAAATTGTTTTCTTTTTGCATACTTTCATTTAAATTTTCACTGAAAGATTTTTATCCATTGCTGATACAATTGTTATTTCAAAATAAGTCATATATACAAGTATTTTTATTCAATTACTTGCATGCTACTTTTAACCAGATTGTAGAAAATAAAACATAGTAAATAGTATTTCTGTGTCCATATCATTGCAAACAGTGTTTCCATCTTTTATAAAATGAAAAGAAAAAAATCCTTCAGGTTAAAATACGATAATCAAAGCCATTCTATTTTGCAAAATTTATTGTAAGGTTAAATAAACTGTTTTCTCTACTTTTAAGTTTCAATATGTTTATAAAGTTACAATTTTACCTACTCCACCCCACTTGCATTAGCCATTAAGTCCTCATCTTCTTGAGGCTGCATTATGAAACATCGTGAATTAATTTGTAAGCGCTGTCAAAAGAATAACAAAATCTCTCAGAAGCAGCAGGCAACAACTAAAATGCAACCCTAGCTATTCATGACAGAAAAATAGTAATGTACCTGGGAATGATTAGTCCAAATACTGTCAGCATCTCGGAACACGCACTAGAAAAAGTGCTAGTAACTGAGAGTCATAAATGACTTGCTTGCAAACACAGATCATCCCATGGGTGATATTTAGACTATTAAGCACTCAACCAGAAATTCTTGGAGTTTCCATAGTAAAAGCAGAAAGTATCATCTAAGAAAAAAAAACCAGACAGGATTTAGTTTTAGCTAGAGGTGAAGTACGTAGTGTATGTTCTGTAATATCCATTAAAGATGTTTAGAAACATCCACAAAAGGGGTCAGGAGGTATCTTACAGGTAAACTGTCTTCTCCTTTCCAAGCTGTCGCTCTTCCTCTCTTAATATACTGTACTCCTCAGACCAATAATTCATTGCAGTTTTCCACTGCCAAACAGTGGGACAGAATCAGGGCTGCACAGTGAATGGGCAAGATGGCAAAGCAAAAGTTGCAAAAGATAAATTCAGGCTGGAAATGTGAACAAATTCTTCACAATGACAGTGTGAAACCCTGTTACAAGTTGCCCAGGGAGGCTGTGGACCCTCCGTCTTTTGAGATTTTCAGAAAATGGGTGGGTACTGCCTTGAGGAACAGCTGTGGTTTTGAAGATGGCTTAACTTCTATAAGGAGGTTAAACTGAAGTACCTCCACTATTTCCCTTAAACTTATTAATAATTTATACTACTCCAGGAATACTGGTAAGTAATGGGGAAAAATATCAGTTTTAACCAGCTCAACAGTTGAAGAGTTTTGCATTAAATTCACATGGAAAATTTATTGTTTTGAGTTCCAGTCCATAATTCAGATTCCCTGGATACTCACAAAATCGTAACTCAGCTAACATTTGGAGATAGATTCCATAGGTAAAAACTGTGGAAACTCTCCTCTGATGCCCAGATGTCTGCAGCTGGCCTGTTCAAGTCTGCTCCCATTCTAACACGTGTGAACTACTCAGTGCCAGCAGTGAAGTCAGAGGCCCAACCCATCTAACCATCCCATGTGCAATAGCAGTGGTAAAGATGCTTAGATGTCTACACAAAAATAGAGTCTGTACTAGGAGCTATTATCCCTCTGAGCAGAGTGCTCATGAGAGACATCTTGGTTCCAACTTTTTTTGCAGATTTATACATTAGATGAAAGACTCTCATTCTGCAAGAAAAGAACTTAATTAATAACCTATACAAAATTCACGGATAAATACCTTCTAAATTTTAGTACGCACTGTGAGCAGTTAAAAATCAGTTGACAAAGAGGAAAACAAGAAAAGCTGAAATTGTGCTTTAGGGCACTCATCTTGAATGAAGGAAAGTGGCTGAGTAAATAATAATTTTATTATGCAAAGCACAACAGCCTAAAAAGAAAAAGCTGGGCACTCCTTACCACACAGTAGTCTGCAGAGTCAGAAATTAAGCTGTGCTTATAAGCAAGACATAAAAAATTTTTTGTCCATATCTCTACCTTGCTGTAACTAAAAAGTGTTTCTGAGATACAGGGATCTTCCTGATGAAAACAACTTGAACAAGTTCAGAGGTGAGACTGAATCACTCAAGACTGTGCTCGATGAATCACATAAGCTCTTTGCCCTGAAGTCTTCAGTTTGCATTCTCTAAATTGCTATTAGTTAGATAGCATTTGTGGATCCTTAAGGTTCTACATATACAGAATCATGGAGCTGTTTATTTCCTCAAGGAAGACCATCCTCAGTGACATTTTGAACAAGTGTCTGAATTCATTACTAATAGCAGTCTAATAATACTTTCAAGTGTTCATGAAAAAAATAGCACACGATTTAAGAAGGTTTATGAATTCTGCCTATGCCTCCTGTCAGATTTTGTGATAAGGGTTTACTCAGAATAAGATTATTCTGATTAGCATGTAGGCTATGTTTTTAACATTGGAAATAGCTGTAGAATCTCAGCAGTGGAGATGTCAAAAAACAAACATTTTGTTCACAATCAGACTCTCTAAATCTTTCCCAAGAGACAGGTATGAATGTTGATGAGAGAAAGTAGTTAAGTCTGGGATACCAGTGAGAATGGAAGCACGTTTTTCTTGTCACAAAACATAACCAGCTGCTTAGTAATATGGCATTTTCTAGATTTAAGTTTCTAGCATTCAACAGACATGCAAAAACTCACATATCTTATATCCCTTGTGGACCTTCTTGATAGCTGCACCCTGGGGCATAGCTCATCGTGGTATAAGCTGCCTATAATAATGTATTTTTTTAATAGATGGACAGGCTCCTTGCTGTGATTGATGCACCTATATACAGAGAAAGACACTGCTATACTAGTTGTCAGTGACTTAGAGAAGTTCTATGCCAGAAGTTGCAGCTCCTATTATCTTTGCTATTGTCCATCTATCAGTTCTTGTATTGCTTAGCCAGCATGTGAAACAACTGAAGAGGTGATCAAATTATCTTGGAGCCTTTGGACATGCAAAGAAAACAGGCTGTTAGATTTAATTGTATGGACGGCTAGGCTGTGTAAAAGAACATTTTTGTGTCTTGTAGCATGAGGTAGTGTTCAGGACAGCAGTGCTGTCTGATCAACCTGACTAAAGGACACATTCCAGAAATTACAAAGACACTTTGAAATATACTGAATAGTGCCTGTAAAAATATCTAGTTCTGCTGAAGATAATGCCTTTATTGAAACATGCATAAGACTGCAGACAGAAGTACTGTAAGTTTTTATAAATGTCATACCTTGTAAACCAAAAAAAATAATAAGCTGTCCACAAGATAAAGAAGGCCAAATGCTGTCTTTCAAAAATTTGATTTTTTATTTTTTTCCCATGAACTTTTTGATATTTCATTGTGTATCTCTGCTATGCATCTTATTCTGTCAACACATTTGCAAGGTTTCTTGAACTTCACATTTAGACTTAATGATTAGGACTATTTTACTGTCAAATAAATAAACATGAAAGCTTGTGAGTTCTCAAAAGAATACCAAACTTATGTCCAACATCACATTGATTTTGAGAAATATTTGTGATTCGACGTATAAGAAAAGAGTTGTTTTTTGTTTAGGTAATAAAAGTCATCTCCTGCAGGATTTTTCAGGCCCACCCGAGACTCAGAAGATGAGAAGTGTGCTGTTCCTAATGAAATCCACAGCCTTGACACCAAGTGTATATTACTCTTACAGTGCAGAAAGGCACTAGGCATTTTGTTCTGGAATTCACAGCAGCTGCTGCGATTAAGTGGAGAATCACTTGATTCTCCCATAGAGCTAGCTTTCTTAAAAAAAAAAAAAAAAGTGGTGTTGTGCTGAAGTGCTTGTTGAGGAGACTTTAATCTACACTATAAAGGCATTGTTTCAACATGTTCTATATGAAAGGATAATCGGTGACTGAAGTATTCATGCTGAGCAAGACTGTAGCTTCAAGTCAGGACTCTGGAAGAAAACATGAGTACTTTGGAATTGCCAGCTGTTGAAAATTATGTCTAACCAGACTATTAAAAAATCACATATTCTTCGTTCAGTATTTCCCAAAGAGTATCTGCATTAAAAATTAGACCAAAATATATTACAATTAATGGAAATTGAAGTACAGATTACATTTTCACATACTTATGCCATTTGGATTTTCTTTCAAAATACTAAAAAAGCACCTTATCCTTGAATTTCTCATCTGCCAGAATCACTATAGTAGAGTTTAGTAGAGTTTTATTATAAAAGGACTACAATATTATTTTCATTAAGATGTGGGGGTACTGTTTTTTGAATGGCTTGCTATTTCTTTCAGAACACAGAACTTTCTAGAAGTCTGAGCTTCTCAGAATTCATCACCTTACTATGGGAATCTAAAATGAAGAAGTGTTCAAATTATTTTATATTTCTTTAACAACAGAACTAAATAAAAGAACAAAAGAAACACTAATACTGTGCAGCCTGTTTTCGCTGTATTTATGTGACCTTTAAATATTTAATCTGATATTTTTCAAAACTGTAGATATAAATAATAGTCACTGAATGACTAATGCATGCTTTAATTTACCATTAGTTGCCTAGCAAATATTAATCATCTAAATAGTTACATGCAGGCCCAAGAACTCAATGTATATTTGTAATTTACAAATGCATAATTTGGATATTTAATTCAAGATACATTTAGCATATAGGGTTGCATATCTAACAATTTAAAAATCAAGTCTCTGATATTAACATAGAATATATTTGTTTCAGTGTTGAAATTGTTGAAAACTTGAAAACAAATTAAGGTAAGAGATGAACAGCTACATTTACATGACAGGTAAACTAAACCTAGCTAACCAAGGTAAAAACCAGATCTTGGCATCTTATTGTGGAACTCTGTTGTGTCATCATGGTGAAGAGTTCAAAACAGAAAGAAAACAGACATCCAAATCATTCCTTAATGAAGCATGTTTGGAAGAGATCTGTTCATCCCATAGAAATTGAATTCTTTTCCATAGTTACTTGGTTCTGAAATTTGCTGCTCTGCAAGGATGTCCTTAAGCTGAGCTATTCAGTTCTCGCTGGAGGTTTCACAAGGGAGTTCCCTCATAACAGAACTTGTAGGTTGAGATAAAACTATTTACAAAGATAGCAAAAAGGAAGAGAATAATAGTTATAATAATATATATAGCAAGTGAAGCAAAAGAAATTGCTCACCACCCACTGACTGATGCCCAATTAGCCCCCTGGTGAGCAGAAGAGATAAAGATTGACTCCCATCTCCTTCAAAATTCCTTCTTCATGATATTACATGGTATGGAATATCCCTTTGGCCAGTTTAAATCAGCTGTCCTGATTCTGTTCCCCCCAGCTCCTTGGGCCCTTAGCTGAGAATGGCTTTGGCTCTGTACTATACTGCTTAGCAGCAACACATCGCTGTGTCACCATCATTGTTTTTCTCCTAGAACCAAAACATAGCATTATACTAGACACTCTGAAGAAAACAATTGGATCCCAGCTGAAACTAAGACACTATTTCAAGCAACAGAAACATATCAACAATACATGCCAATCTTCAGAAATGAAAGAGACAGGGGAACCCAAATAAATGTAAACATGTGGTTTAAGCAGGCTGCATGACAGTATGGAGCTGCTGAGTACGTAGTGAAAACTGACTGAACTGAGTGTGGACTTTTTTTCTTCAGATTTTTGAAGCATCTCCATCTCTGTAGTCATCCTGAAGGGAATTTTAAAACATTTTACAGGTAACCTGATTGTCCTTTGGGGCATGGCATATAACACTTTAGTAAAGCAGTAATGAAATTAGGCATACTGGATGGCAGTCTTTGTTAAATGAAGAAATCCACAGGGTGAATTAGATATACTTGCAGTATATTCTTGGCTTTGCTGGTAATGATCTACACACATGCCTGATGTTTAACAGACCTTGCTTCATACTAAATCTGAGACATATGGCAGCCATTATTTAAAGAAAGCAATGCATTTCTTCCCTGTCAGCAGTGTCAGTACTGAAGCAGAGCAACTGCTCTTACAGAAGTCTCAGTTATCCTTATCTCCTGCCTGTAAGTCTTGATAGTCTCTGTTTTTTAGCCCTTCTAGTCTTTGTCAAGCACATGAGTTGTTCCTATTCCCAAACATATCCACTACTCTGCTCAAGAAGATGTTACTACTCTTTGCAGTTACTGGTGCTCCTCACTCTCCTTTCTTTTTTCTTTTTTTTCTGACAGTCATTAACAATGTGAATTGCCAGGATAAATATGGAACAAAAATCTTATAATCATTTCAGACATACTCCTTAAACTGTAATAATCCCAACAATTTATTTTTAAAAGACCTACAGAATCCACAGAATGACTATTCATGGGATTTTTGTTGTAATCATATTTGCATTTCCTTTTATTATCATGCAGATATGATCTTGGAGATTGTTTATCATCTCAGGGACATTTTGTGCTTCACTGATTTTTTGACTGCCCAGCTTCACAGCTTAAGAATGACTCTTGTTGAAAGTAAGGCCTTGGAAAGTGTCTCAGGTTGGATCCTCAAAATGTAAAGTCTCCCAAACCATTAGTCATTTTTTAAAATCTTGGCCATGATCTTTTATTAGCCTGTAAAAATTTATCACCATATATTGCACCCTTTAAATAATTAATAGCAACTCCAGATGATGGAGAATCATGCAAAACAAATGTATGAAGGAGAATTTGTGGGCAGTCTTGATGGTTTCTCGGAAGGTAGGCCTTTCTGTGATATCTGTTTGGGCACCCAATCATGTGTTCCCAAAGCACTCTTTCCAAAATGTTTAAATGCATGTGAGAATGCATATTATAGTCAACATAGGCTTTCTCTCCTAATTTTGAGGACTTTTCTCTCCATTTTTTTTTTTCTGCTGTTTGTATAAAAAAAAATAAAAATAAAAATAAAATAAAAAATCTTGTTAAAAAAATCTTGAAAATAAACTTGCTGTTTTTTTTTCTCCTGGTGAATCACAGAATGGTTTGGATTGGAAGGGACCCTTATGATCATCTAGTTTCAACCCCCCTGCTATAGGCAGGGACACCTCCCTCTAGACCAGGATGCTCAAGGCCCCATCCAGCCTGGCCTTGAATGCTCCCAGGGAGGGGGCATTCCGAGCCTCACTGGGCAACCTGTTCCAGTGTCTCACCACCTTGACAGTAAAGAATTTCTTCCTAATATCCAGTCTAAATCTGCCCTCTTTCAGTTTAAAACCATTTCCCCTTGTCCTATGACTACATGCCCTTATAAAAAGTCCCCCCAACCTCCCCCCAGCTTTCCTGAAGGCCCCCTTCAGGTATCGGAAGGCTGCTATAACATCCCCCTGGCGCATTCTCTTCTCCAGGCAGAAGAGCCCCAGTTCTCTCAGCCTGCCCCTGTAGAGGAGGTGCTCCAGCCCTCTGATCAACTTCAAGTGAGTACAGGTCCTCCTCTGTACTGGCTTGAACAGCTCAATGAAATACCTGGTCTCCAAATCCTTAGAGGTCACGTCATGACATGCTTCTCCTTTGCCAAATGGCAGTTTACCCAAACAGCTCCACTGTCTGTCAAGGTAAGCTACAAGTCCCTCTGCCTAGGACTTCTGTGATAGCATCATAAACATCTGTACATGATCAGCAGGTTAAAGGAAAAATTCAGACCCTCCTGAAGCATAAGAATAATGAATCTTTCTTGTTAAATGTGCAACATCTGGCAGCTTGCAGTGGAGTGTCACAGCAGATATCTGCCACCATTACTCACTGTTTTAAACTTTTCAGTTCAATGTTTGTGAAGGTCTTGACTCATTCCTTAATGGTGAACAAATCTAAAAAACTCTGTATCCATTCTATATTCACTTCATGAAGATTTAACACAAATGCAAACCAGATTTACGCGGTGCTGGCTGGCTTTGACAAGAATCACAGATATACTTTTCATCGTCCAGCCTCCTTAAATCAATTGTAACTGAACTCACAACTATTTTAACATTCATACTGTGGTGCTTTTCACCTCTACCCATCTCCCTTCCATGGAGTTCAGCTGACCAGCTCTCTGGTCACTAGCATGTAGCACGACGACTGCTGCAGGAGGAAACATTCTAAGGCCTAGTTCTTTAAAATGGCAGTCATAATGAGAAGGTTAGTATGGCACATTTAATTTTTTGCTTATAAGTAGTATATCTGCTTAAAGCTAGAACTTTTATTTTTAGGCATAGGTGTAAATGTAAGAGATGGTGAAGAGTCTGGAGTTCTAATGGAGTGAAGCACTTAAGCACTTGTTTTGTTTTTAAGCCCGTACTTAGGCTACATCAAAATAGTGGGTAATAAGGATGTATTTTTTTCCCTAAACAAAAGCAAGCTAGTACAAATACGTACTTGTCAACAAAAGTTTAGAATGTTACAGGCATGTTAACATTAGCCTTACTGAAATCAGTGGAAGCTGAAAATGTACTTAAGGGTTGATTTCCTTTTATTTATTTATTTATGTCATTTTTGCAAAATAAAAGAATGAGGATTAAAATGAAGATTAGGTTACTAGATATTTCTAAAACCTCTTTTTAGACATTCTGAATTTGGGAATCAAAGTATGAAGTATTACGAAATAAGTTATTGGAGATTTTGTTACTAAAAAAAATTAGATTGAACTGAATTAAGTTTATTATATGTTTTATGACAAACATAAACTCATAAAAGCTTTGAGGATGTATTTTACATTTGTAGCATTTTCATTAACTTTTCTTTTAAAATACTTATGCTCTGGCTTTGAGCCTGGCTAGTTTTTATGATATTTATCTGTTACTTTTTGTACCAGAAAAGAAAACAAAAATCTCCCCAAAGTATTTAATGTGAGAAATATGCATCTATGCTTTAGAAAGTGATTTGGCTGGAAAGAGTTTACTTTAGATCAGTGATAAAACAAGATAATTAATTGGTGCTTACATAATTAAAAACAGACCTCACTGCAGGAGGCACTGTGGAATATGATATCTCAGTAGAAATATATTCAAAAATGTCTCAGAAGAAAAAAGAAAAGGCATGTTTTAATCCTTAAAAAAATGAAAATATATGTTATTAAAAAATTCTTAGCAAATGCTTTTGCTATTTTCTTCCCCTAATCAAGAATTACATCTTTAAATGGCAAGGCAGCATCTGCATTTAATCAAAATCAAATAAAAGATTTCCGTAGGAACAGATGGCACTGTTTTTAATGCTTTGTGGCCAGTTCAGGTATTATGAGAATGAATTATGATGTAAGCAAGCTTTGTGTGTAAAGTATAATTTGACAGAAGTATTGAATAAAGGAACACTTTGTGTTACCTGTTTCATCTAGACCAGATCATCTCATCTGCTAAAATGTAAGAATCAAATGCCTTAAGCTCTGCGGCTGCTTGATGTTAAAGTCAGGATTTCCTGCCTTTTCTTGTCTAGGTGCTGAGG